ATATATATATATATATATATATATATATATATATATATATATATATATATATATATATATATATATATATATATATATATATATATATATATATATATATATATATATATATATATATATATATATATATATATATATATATATATATATATATATATATATATATATATATGTACAAACTCAATAAGAAATACACAATTTCTACATGGTATCAGAGCTACTACTGTTCTGATCCAAAAGAAAAAAATTAGGGTTTTCCCATGGAGGAAAAAACAAACAGCTCAAGCATCTCAGATGCTGATTCAAAGGATGCGACTGGAAACACCACCAGTCGTCATAATGAGACAATTCTCATTACTTGTTACAAGCTCAATGGACAGAATTATACACAGTGGTCCAGATGTGTCTGACTCTTCCTCCAAGGAAAGGGAAAGGAAGACTACATCACCGGCGATGCTAAGCAGCCAGCAAAGACTGATTCAAACCATGCGAAGTGGAAACTTGAAAACAGTCTTGTGATGTCATGGTTGCTCAACTCCGTGACAAATGAGTGTGGTGAAAATTTCATGTATTATGGCAATGCTGCAGAAATCTGGAGTGCAGCCAAGGAGACCTACTCAAATGTGGATAACACTCCAGCCATATTTGAGATCAAAAGTCTCTTGCATAACCTTCAACAAGGAGACTCTCTAGTAACGGAGTACTATCACACTCTCACAAAGTACTGGCAGCAACTCGTCATCTATGTCGACACAGTGGAGGTGTCCAGAGGATGAAAAAATCTACAAAAAATTGATCGAGAAGGATAGAATCTATCAATTTTTATTGGGACTGAATAAAAATTTAGATGAAGGGGAAGGATTCTGGGAACTAAACCTCTCCCTAGCATTCGTGAAGCATTTGCAGAAGTAAGAAGGGAAGAAAGTAGAAGAAAAGTTATGTTGGGAAGTAAAAATGTAAACATTGAAGGCTCTGCTCTTGTAGCAAGAGGCCCACCAAAGAAAGGGAGAGGATGGTGTGATCACTGCAAGTGTCCCGGACATACAAAGGAAACATGCTGGGTGCTTCATGGGAAACCCATGGATCTGAAACCAAGATTCAAGGATACACGCGCATATGCTGCTGCTGTTGATGAAAGCAAATCCAAAAGTACATCAGAGGCAAGCCCTTTCAACAAAGAACAAATAGAGATGTTGCAGAAAATGATGCAACAAGCAATACAAAACACTAGTACTTCTTCCACTGCTGCTACTCTTGCCCAAAAAGGTAATTTTTCTACTTCCCTTCATGTTAATCACCAGAAAACAAACCAATGGATTGTTGATTCTGGCACATCAGATCAGATGACTGGGGACATCAATGTATTTACGAAATACACTCCCTGTCAAGATGGATCTTTTGTTCGAATAGCAGATGGTACTACCTCTAAAGTGGCTGGTAAAGGTTCAGTGATTATCTCTAAAGATATTACTCTTTTGTTCGAATAGCAGATGGTACTACCTCTAAAGTGGCTGATAAAGGTTCAGTTTTACATGTTCCAAAATTAAATTACAGCTTGTTGTCTATCTATAAATTAACCAAAAATTTGGGATGTATTGCTATGTTTTTACCAAATTTGTGCGAATTTCAGGATATGAATTCGGGGAAGATGATTGGCAATGTTGAGGAGAGTGCAGGTCTTTACTACCTAAGAGTTGAAGAACAAAATAAAAGATCATACAAGGCTGCCCTTACATGTTCATCAAAGAATGAAAATAATGTAATGTTATGGCATTATCGCCTAGAACACCCAAATTTTATATATTTGAAGAAGATGTTTCCATCATTATTTAATAAAGATTCTGGTTTTTTCAAATGTGAAGTGTGCGAACTAGCCAAACACATCAAGTCTCATTATCCCGTACAAGCTTATAAGCCATAAACCTTTCACCCTTATTCATAGTGACGTGTGGGGACCTTCACGAGTGAACAATATTACTGGGTCAAGGTGGTTTGTTTGTCACCTTTATTGATGACCATACAAGAGTCACTCGGATGTTTCTCATAAAAGAAAAGTTAGAGAGGTAGGGAGTATATTTGAGAACTTTCATAAAATGGTTCAAACCCAATTTCAAAGCAACATTCAAATCCTAAGGCCTCATAAGGGGGGGAGTACTTCCACCACACCCTTGGTACATACCTTGCCAAAAATGGGATTGTACACCAAACTTCATGTCCATATTCTCCCCAACAAAATGGAACAGCAGAGAGGAAAAATAGACACCTATTGGAAGTCACTCGAGCCCTCATGTTGTCCATGAATGTACCTAGCCATTTTTGGGGAGACGCAGTTCTTTCTTTATCATACCTAATAAATAGAATGCCCCCCAAAACACTCAACCTAAACACACCTCACCAAACCCTCTTGTCCTTTTATCCTTCGACCAAACTCATCACAAATCTCCCACCAAAGATTTTTGGATGTACGGCATTTGTACATGATCAAAAGCCAAATCCCAACAAGCTGGACCCAAAAGCCATCAAATGTATATTATTGGGATACTCTCCTACCAAGAAAGGATATAAATGCTATTGTCCTCAGAAAAGACGAATCTATCACACTACAGATGTCACGTTTTATGAAGAGAATGCCTTTTATTCCAAGGCTGCCATTCAGGGGGAGAAAGTAGCAATTGATGAACACCAACCTTGGGAAATTACTATACCAAAATATGTCCCAGAATCTGTCCCGCAATCCCAGAAACCGTTCCAGAATCTGTCCCGCAATCTGTCCCAGAAACCATTCCAGAAAATGTACCAGAATCTGTCCAGCAAGAATCTGTCCCAAAATCTAACCTACTGGAACCTGAATTGGACCAGCAAGCAACCACTCTTGAGGTTACCAAGACAACAAATGGAAGAAAAGAACTACATGTATACACAAGGAAGAAAAAACAAGCTTCAAACTCTTAAGGCAGTAGAAACGTGCACTCTTCCAAAGCAAAACCAAGGCTCTGCCCAAAATTCAGATTCTGAACCTACTCACAAAGATAAATTACCATGCATTGACTCATCTTCTAATTTATTGGATAATGACACTTATGAACTTACCTATTTCCCTAAGAAAGGGAGTGAGGTCTTGTACCAAACACCCAATTGGGAACCATGTTCCTAGTGAAAAATTGTCGCAGGAGTACAAGAATTTCATCAACTCAGTGGACAACACCCATATTCCTCAAAATTTTCATGAAGCTATCCTAGTTCCAGAGTGGAAGGCTGCGGTTGTGGAAGAAATCAAGGCACTAGAGAAGAATGGTACGTGGCAGCTCTGTCACCTTCCAGATGGAAAGAAGCCAGTTGGATGCATATGGATATTCTCGGTGAAATATAATGTAGACGGGAGTGTGAACAGGTATAAAGCTCGATTGGTGGCAAAAGGATTCACTCAGTCTTATGGGATGGACTATGAAGAGACCTATGCACCTGTAGCAAAATTAAACTCAGTGCGTGTCCACCTTTCCTTGGCGGTAAATTTGGATTGGCCACTTCATCAGCTAGATATAAAAAATGTTTTCCTAAATGGTGAACTTGAAGAAGATGTTTACATGAGAATACCACCTGGACTTGAGACGTCAGAAAATTCAGGCAAGGTATGTCAGCTCAAAAGATCACTATACGGGCTCAAGCAATCCCCGCGGGCTTGGTTTGATAGGCTTACAAGAGCGGTTAGGATGCATGGTTTCTCTCAATGCCAAACAGACCACACAGTGTTCTTAAAACATTCAGAGGAAAGCAAGGTAACCGTCTTCATTGTTTACGTAGACGACATTATAATTACAGGTGATGACTATACTGGAATTGAAGGGTTAAAATTGTTACTAGCTAAGGAATTTGAAGTCAAAGACCTTGGTCAGTTACGGCATTTTCTTGGAATGGAAGTGGCACGATCAAATTTTGGAATTTATTTGTCTAGGAAATATACTCTTGACTTCAAGAAACGGAGATGTTAGGATGCCGGCCAGCAGAAACTCCTATGGAATCTAATGTGAAAATAGGAGAGGAAAAAGAGAGTCCACCAACTGATAAAGAGATGTATCAAAGACTGGTTGGGAGACTTATCTACCTAACCCATACGCGGCCAGACATTGGTTTTTCTGTCAGCACGGTTAGCTGCTACATGAACGATCCCAAAGAGACTCACATGAAAGCAGTTAACCGTATTCTACAGTATCTCAAAAAGGCACCAGGGAAGGGGCTGCATTTCAAAAAGGACACAAGTAGGAAAATAGAAATATTCACAGATGCAGATTGGGCTGGCTCAGTAACTGATAGAAGATCAACCAGTAGGTATTGCTCATTTGTATGGGGCAACTTAGTGACATGGAGAAGCAAGAAACAATTTGTGGTTGCAAGAAGCAGTGCTGAAGCAGAATCTAGGTCAATGGCTCATGGGATTTGCGAAGGGATGTGGCTCCAAAGGATGCTTGCGGAACTACAATTCATACTTACCATGAAGTAAGTCTATTGTGTGACAAAGCTGCCATAAGCATTGCTAAAAATCCTGTGCAATATGACAAGACAAAGCATGTGGAAATTGATAGACATTTCATCAAGGAGAAGATTGACAATGGATTAATTCTCTTCAACACACACCCTCAAGTCATCAAACAGCTGATATCTTGACCAAGGCACTTCCTAGAGCCAACTATGAAAACTTAAGATTCAAGTTGGGTGTGATGGACATCTATGACCCAACTTGAGGGGAGTGTTGGTTGTTGATCTGCAGCAGTTATTCAGCCATTAATAAGGGACAGCAATACAGATTTTATAGCTGTATTTCCCTTCTTGTAAATAGGAATTAATTTGAGTTAATTAGGATTTAATTAGTTTCTATAGTTACTTGTACTCCCTAGGCTATTTATATATCCTATTCTATTATGTACAAACTCAATAAGAAATACACAATTTCTACGGTGAGGACAATCACATGGATTAAATATCGTCAACTGTTTGACCTAAAGCCAAGTCTTACACGTCCTTTTTAATAATTGCATGTTGTTCAAACCAAAAACAGATTATCTAATTATCTAACTATGACAATGATTTTCAGAAATTTTACAGCACAAAATCAGGTGGGCAGTTTAATAAACAATAAATAAAAACAAATTTTCAGATATCCAACTCATTCGCAGTCCTTGTAAGGCAGTAGAGACCAGACTACTGTACTAAAACGTTTCATTAATTTCTACCTTTTCTCTCCTTTCCCTCTACCCTTCACCAAATACCAGGCAGTTTAACAAAAATAAAATAAAACTAAGTTGTTTTAGGCAACCATAATAATTGCATGCTGTTCAAACCAAAAACAGATTATCTAACTATGACAATGATTTTCAGTAATTTACAGCACAAAACCAGGTGGGCAGTTTAATAAACAATAAATAAAAACAAATTTTCAGATATCCAACTCATTCGCAGTCCTTGTAAGGCAGTAGAGACCAGACTACTGTACTAAAACGTTTCATTAATTTCTGCCTTTTCTCTCATTTCCCTCTACCCTTCACCAGATACCAGGCAGTTTAACAAAAATAAAATAAAACTAAGCTGTTTTAGGCAACCATAAAACTACACCATACCTGGGTTAATTCGTTTGCAATAAGGGGAGGGCTGCAGCAAGTCCTTGTAAAGGATTCAATGGCAGTTGATGTGTTACGATCACGCAAATCATTAAACCAGCCACGGACATAAGCAGGAAGAACATGAAGCATGAAGCCATAGATTGCTCCAGCAAGTGATGAAATTTTCTCCGACTCAATAGGCCAAAGAGATTCCACAGAGAACAAGAGTGAACCAGTGATGGTGGCTTTGGTTGCAGCACTTGCCGGTTTTGATAAGGCACCAGAAATCTCTGCATCTTTCTTCTTCAGATTTTGAATCGAGGAAATCTGTACAGGAATATGCTGAAAAAGGCAATCTAAAATAACTGGAGTAGCAGAATCTTGAATGTACTGTATCAGTCTCTCCCTATCAGATGATGATGAAGGCAACGACCATAGATGTGATATCAACAAAGACCAAGCCAGGAAGAGATTTACCTGCAAATTGCAATAGATTTTTTTAGACCAATAGTTCTCCAATGGAAAGATGAAGTAAATAAACATACAAATGCTTGACATATTGGTAGGAAGTCTTTTCATTAACTAGTGAAATGTTAGTCTGTTAGTTTTTGGGGTTAGATGAGGGGTGCTAAATAATAGAAGGATGTATTAGAGTGTCTTTGGTTTTTCAAGGAAATTAGAGCGCAAAAGAATAATCAGGTCTTTCATAAAAATGGTATCAATTCTATTTCCTTACAAAACCAAAGATTTCTAATCCCTCCTATTATTCATAGCCTCTCATATCACGCTCCTAACTAATTGACTTACTAACTGTCTTATATTAACTAACTAGGATAATCTATCACAAATAGCATATAGTTCAACTATGTTTCCAAATAAAGTATTCTTACACGTTGATGCGCAAGTAAGTCCATTTCAAGAACCTCATAAGGTGCCCTTTCGACCCTGTAAGATATTTCTTCTTTTAAACGGACCTTTTCTTCTATTGACGTGTCAAAACGGTTGGAATCCTGGTCACTGGTAGCATTTATGACTGAGTTGCAAGCACTATCTTCAACGACAGCCGTGCTTAAAACAGGTTCATTTGAAAGAACAAAATATGCAGCAAACTGCAACAAAGGAATTGGCTTCGAAGTAAAAAGTATAGCATACAATGAGCTAATAGACCCTTTGCTTAGTCCCCAAAATGCAACTGATTTCACTGATCTATCTCTAGCCTGTGAAGAGGAATCAAGGACAGCACAAGCTACAAATTCCCAAAAAGATGCATATGTAACCCGTGACGACGCAATAACTGATGCAGCTTCTTTGAAGTATGCATTTGCAATAGCTTCAGATATGCCAGTACAAAATAGTAATCGTAGTATACCTTCTACAATCCGATCTTTAGCAGAGTCCAACTTTTCTGTTTTCATTGTATTTGAATTATCCGTGTCTTCAGTTTGTTGATGTTTACAATGCTTAAGGAAAAGTGAAAAGGATAAAAGGGCAATTTCAGAAATCTTTATGGGAAAAGGATCCGAAATCAAAATAATTTTCTCAATTTTTTTACACATTTCATCCAAACTATCAGATGAATTATCAACTAAACCATTTACATTTTCGGTTACATCCTCCATCATAACAACTACTGATTGAATCCAACACCTTAGGTTAGACAACAGAAACTCCCAATCTTCTTCATTAAAATCATTCCAGCAATAACCTACTGAAACAGCCATAAGTTTTGATAGCAGCATCTGCACAACTGGAAGCTGGTTGGTCATTGCAGATACTCCAGCAACAAGCCTCTGCTTCAGGAATAATTTATATAAAAGTTTTCTCTCATCAGGGCTGATACTTCTCGCTGGCTTTAATGCTTGAGGACCACCCATTGCGCTGAAAGGATAACAGGCAATTACCAACCGAAGCCAACCTTCCATATCTACAAGAGTCATGACCAGTTTTATTAATACCATCCAGTATTCACTCACAATTGATGGCAAAAGAAGTTTCTGAATAAACATTATATTAAAGAATATTTTTAAGTGAAACGGACTATTTGCACTGTTGCAAGTAAACACAGGCCATAAATGCAAACACACAACGCATAATTTTAGTTAACCATTTATACCTGCAACCAAAAAATGCCAATTCAGGTCTCTGATGAATTAGCATGTACCACTACCATTCACAAGAAATAAAAATTTACCTTGTCCTGCTGTCCATGTGACCAAAGGGGGAAGCTTTAGAGCCCTCTCAAGCCAATCTATCATGGTGTTTTGCACAAATCTTTCTTCTAAAGAACAGGGTTCAACACCTTTACCGGGCTCCACATATCCATAAAATGGTTCTAGAAGTACACTGATAAGCAAAGGAAGAATCTTAAGACAAATTGTATTTACTTCTTCACCAAGAAATAGTTTATTCACGAGAAGTTCAATAAGATATGATGCCTTCTTAGTCCCCCATATGTTCTCTTTGAACAAAGTAGACAGAAAGGAAACAAGCGCTCTTAAGAATGGTTCTTCAATTCCTTCCATTTCATCAGCTGGAACTGGCCACATACTCACAGAACTCTTTGTACTATCACCTCCATAAATAAGAGATCTGTCGAGCAAGATGTTCAATATGTTATCTAACAGGCTTTCCTGAGGAGAATCACTTCTTTTGGCATATGCACTCAGTGAAGGTAAGAAAGAAGACATAGCACTGTTTCCTGGCCATCTCCATGTGCACAGTATTTCAGCAGCTAGCCATGCAGATGATGCAATCCCTTGACTTCTTTCAAACATAGACAAATTAGGCATTGCACAACCAGCAATAACTCTATCTATTCCTATTTTTTGGATTAACTTGTCAATTAGTGCTACAAATTTCTGGTGTCCTGGAGCCTGCAGGCGGTAAAAACTAGAGATTAAAAGTACTACCTTATTTCTTTATATATTAGGCAGGATCATCAACTACAGCTTACATGTCCAAACTACATATTTCAAATAAGCAATTCATGACTAACTTCATCTGTAACACGCTATCTGATATTGGATAAAGCATTAAAAATTTAAAATGTAGATTGTCTGGCTGGTAAAGCCTACCATAGCTCACTCACTACCAATATTGACATTGATATCCCAACACAACATACTTTATCCAACATACTTTCCATACTATCATGTAAACAAAAGTGCTTATTACAACAAAATATCTATTTAATAGAGACAAATTACCAAATGTGTGAATACCTTTGTTGAGCTGAAATTTTGCACTACAAACACAGGCCATCTTTCATCTCTGCTCAGCAACTGATGTAGAAGATTCTGTTTATCATTTTCATCCACACAGACACGTTCAAGAATTTCAAGCACCCATGTAAAGCATAATGATGTGATTTTGTCATTAACGTGTTTATCTTCAACAAATATTGCAGACTTGACTGACTGAACTAAGATATTCAACAGCCTCCTGCGGGTATCTATGCATAAGCTTTTTAGAAAGTGCACATTTATCTTGTTATGGAAAGCACGCACATATTCTCCAAATGATTGTCTGGCTTTGACTCTGCTCATTGATTTCTCATCAAGTGAATAGTCCAAAGCTTCACTTAAATTGCACTCCCACTCAATGACAAAGATTGCTGATAAAATTCCTGATACAATTTCACCTTCCCCATCCAGTGTGTTCAGGCAAAAGAAACTACCATCAAGTATATCAAGAGAGATCTTCGCCTTCTCAACAATGTTAAAAGAGCTATCATGTTCTACACAGATTTCTGCATCATTGCTTAACATAGAAGCTGCATCTTGTGCCCAAGGAAAAGACGAACCCTGTATAAAACTAACTAACCTCCTTAGAATCTCCTCATAGATGAGGATCAATGCACTCCTTGACAGAAAAGGCATAGATTTTCCTTCTGATGAACCACCGAGAAGAGAGCTGCATTTAAAAAGTGTAAGATCAGAGTTAAGAGCACTCCAGCCAATTAATCTTAAATTTCTCTAGATTGGGTTCAACACAAAATTAAGTACATGATACATACAGCTTCAGAAAGTGATCATGCCATGGCATTATTGAATAACGCTTGGCAGTTTCAGAATTGATCACGCTATGGCTTTCAGACACAGCATAGGTTGTGAAAGCAGAAAAAACCCAAAAAAAAACTACAAACCCGTCAAGCTCGTATGTGAGAATTTAAGGCTTTCTAACATGTGAGAATTTAGGGCTTTCTAACAGATCAAAAATAACTGCATTCGGACAAAACAACCCCAAAACAGAACGAGATTTCCTTGTATTACAACAATATGTGTGTAAGTTGTTAACAAGCTTTCCATTTGTAGTTGACTGTTTTATTTTATTTTCTTCCTGTATGACTATATCCATATTCAATTTTCAAACTGTCCCATGCAAGGCATGGGGACTGAAGACTAACTTATGTGTGAAGACAACTGAAATTAAATTTAGAAACAACACAAATAAGTATATTTATTACATTGTTGACATTAAATTTTAACCGTGTGAAATCAAAGTATAAAACTTTGGACATACCACATAAACTGCACATGAGATGCGCTATATGGAGGCAAAGAACGAGAAGCAGCAGTAGCATATGATTCCAGACATTCATGATACCAATCTTCAGGATTAGTGCCTGGTCTATAACTGGAACCATCTCTTGCCTTCCTCTTCATACTCTCATCCCTTGCTTTTTCCAGGAGTGTGGCCAACATTGTTGCTTGGTCAGAGTTTATCAAACCTGCCGGGGATCCAGAATAACTTTGGCTAATCACATAATTGACAATGATAGACCATTGTTCTTTGAAATACTCGTCATCAAGCAAGGTCAACAACAAATCAAAACGAGCATTAGTTGAGCAACTATTTGGCTGCAGACACCAAGGGACAAAAGTATTCTTGAAGATTTGCAGAAATTCTTCAGCTTTTGATGATTCATCCCCACCACAGTGCCCTCTTTTCTGATTAAAAACTTCTTGGACTATTTTCTGTGGTCCAAATATTGAAACAGCGACAGATAGAAGTTTCACAGTATCTGGTGAATCCTGATATTTAAAAACAGGGTGATTAAGGAAGAGCTCAGTAGAGGAAATCCAAATATTTATTTTTTTTAAATAGTCATCCAAATAATACTAAATTAAAAATAAATAAATAACTACCATAAGCCTATGCAACATTAATCCCCTTTTTATTAACAGGCTAAATCAACGACAGAGTTGACATGATAAGTAATTCCCTCAAATTGATGACATATTTATTTATACTCTAATTATGCATAGAATCAATGTCTTAAAGACTAAATCAGAAGATACCCTTTTTGTATAGTCCCCATTTCAAGATATTGTAAACTGTGTATGATATATGTTAAGAATTCTACATCGGACATTATATAGCCTGAACATGTCCTTATAAGTGGGGACAATCCTCACCTTACGAGCCAGTTTTGTAGGAATGAGTTAGACTCAACCCAAATTCTGAGATGGTATCAGAGTCTGGTTTTGTAGTGGAAAAAGATAGTGGAAAAACAGAAGAAAGAACCAAGGGTGATGGTAGGTCATCTTCCCGAAAGCCGATTTTGTAGGGATGAGTTAGGCTCAACCACATTTCTTAACATGGTATCAAGAGCCTCGTTTAAAATCCGGTGAGCCACTTGCTATCAGGTTTCCGCTATCGGGCCACCCACCATTTATTTCCACGCTCCAGTTGTCTAGTCCTGGGCGTGAGGGGGGGTGTTAAGAGTCCCACAACAGACAATATATAGCCTGAACATGTCCTTATAAGTGGGGGCAATCCTCACCTTACAAATCGTTTGTAGAGATGAGTTAGGCTCAACCCAAAATCTGAGAATATATAACCTAAAACATAATCCTCAAGTTTGAAAAAGAGACTGATTTAGTGACTCTACAACAACCAAACCATTTCCCACACCATGTGCATAATTAATATCTAAATAAATTAAAAACAAAATGGCAAACAAGTTTGTAGTAATATCCACTTACAGAAGACCTAATGATTGAGAAAGATTTCGCCATCGGTCCAACAATATAAACCAAGGGCCAAGTTGCACCTTCCATAACTGCATGTTGCTCCAGCAATAACATGAACAAAATGATTTGTTCAACCATCTCCACGTTGCCTGCTTGCTGAAGAACGCTCATGCAATTATTTTCAAGTTCCACAGTAAAAACAGATAGAAGATTGATATCTAATATATGAATGCCTAAAAGGATTTCAACAATGCACTTTCCCAATGCTTGCAAATAAGGCATTGGATATTTCTTACTAAGCATATCCACTTTCTTGCTATGAGAAATGTTTTTCTCAGATGATTCAGATTCTTTTCCTGTGCTGATTATATCATAACTTTTGGAGCTTCCGGTCGTAAGAAAATCCCTCCATATAAGCTTTGCTAGGATATTATCAACGAGAGTGGCTCGGAAATGACTGATAGAATCCTCTCCGTCATTATATCTGATACAGATAGAAAACAATTTGGTTATAGGAAAAAACATTGAATATAGGGAAGACATAAGCATGGAGTAAATGAATCCAAATACACAGAACCACTATCACAAGGAAAAATGTGTACCTTGAAGCATTTTTCAAGGACCAAAGAAAACACTCCTTGAATGCCTGGAAAAATGCTAGCCTATCTGCTGATAGAGAAGTTTTCCTTCCCGCCCACAAGCTTTTGAAAAATTCAAGAAAAAACTTATCCCCCACAACAGCTTTAGGAGGCATGTTGTCTAAAAATAAAACCAAAGCTGGGTATGAGACCTGTTGGGAACCGAAGCACCCATTCCTAAGAAAATTCCAAAAAGGATTCAGAATGTTTTTCTGAACGTTTAAGGAACTCCAACCTCCTGGGAACCTTCTAGAAAAAAGTAGTATTACATCCCACATTGAGGCATGACATGTTGGATCCTTCTCACTGAAAGCACCGAGAATTGCTCCCGCAAGACTTTTTATATTCCCTTCGGTAATGGCATGTGGCATATTTTTCATGAAGCTCTTCAATACAGTATAGGTAGCAGATCGGATAGTAGGTCTTTTAGACTTCAAGAAATCTAGGAAGTGCTTATGATCTGCTAACAGCTTTTCACCAAAAGAAATAGCAGCCACCCTGGCCTTTGAAGCATGTTTAGGTTCAGTAGTGATATTCTCCGAAGCAGGTTGCTCTTGTTGTGGGAAAATTAAAACGTCAAAAAGAGAGGCCAATGCCAATAACGTTGATGATATCACCTGTAAGACCAAAATAGAGAATAAGTTTCATGAAGTAAAATTACATGGTCCAAAATGGAAAATTTGAATATCAGTTAAATACATTGAATTACTGAACCATTAAACTGTAACCAAAGAGAAGGCGATCTGCGTTGACGATGGACCATGTGATAGAAACCAAGAGAGTTGGGGCTAAATCTTGAGTCAAATCAAATCAACCGACGCAAAGGCATAGAGAGCATAATCAGGAAGGAAGACTGGTATTAATGGCAGGCAAAAGGAAGAAGAGTCTTTTATGCAAAATGGTTGTACTATTAAGGGCAATGGAAGGATTGAATTATATAGACATTGAAATTTGGCCTTGGGCTTGATACCACTTAGCACTGCTTGACAGTGAATTTCATTGTTATACTGCAGCAAGTGTGACTGAATATTTTGGGTTATTAGTTTATGGAGAACTCATAACTGAATCTTGTTTAGAGTAATTCTTTTTTTCATTGATTAACAATGCTGAATGACTACATTATTATATAGGATCCTAATCCTGCACACATGTGCAGGTTAGTGCCAACTGATCTTAACTAACTCTAATCCTCCGCACAGGTTAGAGGTAACTAACTCTAATCCTATCTTGGTTGAATCGCCCCTCCGGTAAATCAATGAATTGTATATAAACTATGATCTTTGAAATGTTTATGTGATTATTTTTACGAATGAATTTAAACTTACATAAGCATTTGAAGTGTTATTTAAGGTTTTAATTATCTTACTTGTGAGTTGTGCATATAAATTTAAATTTACACAGTATTTCAAGTGATTCAAGATTTTCTATGTCTTAAGTAATTCTATTTTAGATGCATATATGAGTTTTAAAATTTTGTATAATCTTATGATTAGTGTTACAATTCCATGATTTACGATTTTACTTCCCCTTCCCAATTTTGAGTAAAATGTTGATTTTAACTACCTTGACTAAACACGAAAGACCTGTAATTTTACATGGACTAAAAGCATATTAAACACAAAGCAAGGTATCTACCAACCAATATTTTAAAATCCTTGCATACAATATAAGACATCCTACCATCAAGATTTACCATATATTAAAGTGATTTTCATGTATACCTGTTGGTACATCTCTTCCAACTCATCCACGGCAACAGCTTTGTCAGACAAACTTTGTGGTGTGAGCTTTAGGTTTTCTTCTAAATACATGAATATCTCTGCTGTGCATAAAATCAAAGCATCAAGTCTTTTTTCCTGTGCTGGAAAGATAGCCTAATACAATCAAACAAGGATTAAAACATGAATCACATGTGGCACAAATTTGGTAACAAACTTATTCAGGTTCAAGCAATAAAGCTTCCATCAGAGAATATACTGAGGTAGTCTTGTACACTTAGCAAATGAATGTTATAAATAGAGAAAAATGCAATTGAAATTGAATACAAAACACACACACACATAATGGATTGCACTTTGGCATATTTAATCATTTTAGAGAAACTTTGAAGATTACTTCAACATATTCAAGTTAAGTGTATTAATGCACTTTACTTTTGAAACATAACTAGGTAGTATAAGAAAAACATTAGTGGAAGAGGCCAAAGAATACAAAGCCATTTTAAAAATTTCTATATCACATTGCGATTTCCAAAATGTAAAATTTCTTCCAACAATGTGTTTGGATATAGAATAGAGGGTGGTTTGTTGCGGAAGTTAGTTAGTTATTGATTAGTTAGAATGTGTCATGTATAAATAGAAGCACACATGAATAGAGGGAGTATTATTATTGAGTATTTTAAACTTTTAATGAATAGAACAGTGGCTCTCTTGTAGAAGGGGGGACCCTACCCTAGGAGGGTTTTCTCTCTTATTCTTTCTTTTTTTTTTTAATAAGTGTTACTATTCATTCTAAATCCAGGTTTCCTAACACAATGTCAGGATTCTGTTATACTCAGCATGCAAATTTTGAGCATGTGCTTAAGCACACATAGGTCTGCGTGGGGAAAACATGCATAAGCCTTCAAGACAGATTATTCATGATAATGAGCTCAATGTAAATAATTAGAGGGTTTTATTGAAGTGGCTTAGGGCAACTACTTATTGGTTCAAAAGCATGTATTTACACTGAAATATATCAAATGTCAAACAAAATAAATTTTACAGATGGTTCATCCTTATGAAAGATCTCGAGATTAACAAATTGGATAGAAACATGATCTTCGATAGAACATTATGATGGAATTTGACCCATGTAGCCGACCCCACTTAGTGGGATAAGGCTTGGTTGTTGTTGTTTTGTTGTAGATGGTTCGTCCTTCTTATCCTGATATCACAAACTTACACAACATCTCAAAGGATCCTAGTGAAAGTCAATGAAAATCAGGCTTGTTTGTGGATCGATATTTGTTAGGATATAAGATAATGAGTAGTTTGTTAGGATATGGGATGGGAGCGGAGCTTGTTAGATAAGAGGAGTTATAGGATAAGGAGGAGTAAAATAGGTTAGTTAGTCAGATATAAGGAGATGATTAGGGAAGTTAGTTAGAGATATGTATAAATAGGAGAATACAATGGATAGAAATCACCATTTGAATAATGTAAAGTTTGTAAATAGATTAGCAACTCCAATGTGAGTGAGAAACCCTTGGAGGAGAAATTCTCTCCTGTTATTTATCCTATTTCTAAATAAAAGTGTTCTTTTTTGGAATTCCATTCTTGGGTACCTACCAATATTGAACCAGTCTCGGCTTAACATATTACAAGCAGCATAAGCCTAAGATGGTGGAACTTGAAAATATTCTGGTTTGATGCAATAACAGTGAAGAGACTAGCTGAAAATCCATGTATTTATGACTCTTCGAATATATAGTATCCTCTTGTGTTAAATGCATGAATTCCATCACATGTCTCTTTTCCTTCTCAACATCAATAATGAATAGAAATTATTTAAAACCCAACTGTATATAAAATTAATATAGCAAACCTGCAAAGACCTTTTTGCTGCCCGAGAAACTTCATAAGCTGGATCAAATTGTGCAAACCACCATGGTCCCATCAAAGTCTTCAAATGCGGAGCTAAATCTCTCCTGAGAAGGGCGTGGAAAGTGAAGTCAACACCAAGTCTCTGACTATGTGAATTAAATTCACTCAACATAACATAGTAAGACTTCAGAAGGACCAGCTTACAGACCAAAAACATATTTAACCCATAAATGAATAATCTTAATTTAATAAAATTCAGATGCTCGAAACCAGTTCAATAGGTACATATTAAAATAACCTCTTCAATGTATATGTATGTTTGGTAGACTATAATTTCCATGCTAGGTGGAAACTGGGATAAGGCCTTTGTTTATTATGTACACACCAATGTCCAAAAGATACTTGGCTTGTTCATACGTTATTTAAGCAAGCAACTTTTAAGTTATAACCAATCAGAAAATTGATAGGGAAGAGTTCAAATACAATGATTGTTGAGCATGTTTTGATAGAGAGCCATTCAACCATGGGCATAAATCTGCAAAACTACCATGGTGGGGAAAGCATGTGCATAAATTTATTCATAAAATAAAGCAACATCAACTCATCAAATTCCCAAGTGTTCAAATACTTCAAACTAAACAGTTAAAAATGCAAGATATAGGCATGAATAAAAAGCTCATTAGAATAGGTCCAAGTTCTAACCCAACAGAAGTAACAAGTGTGGTCATGGTATCATGAGTAGCCCGCCTAACATCCCTATTATAGTCCAGCAACAGCTTTTTATATTCAAACGCCTGAACAACAAATTAAACGATCAAGTCAATTAAATAAGTATATTAAAAAATTGAGACAAGAGCATCAGCGAACTATTAGAACATTAGGGGGAATAAAACTCTTTTGTGTTGCATGGGGAAATGAAAATTGCTATTGAAAAGAACAACTTGTTCAATGTTCAACGTATAGATATTCCTCATGTAAAGTGAAAGGGCCTGATACAGGAAATATATTAAAAGCACATACCCATTGGGGAATAATTGGAACAATTTCTTTTGATGACCTTTGCTGAAGCAGCGAAGATAAAGCTGACAATGCCTTAAGCTGTTAAAAAATTATATAAAAAAATACAAAGGTAAATAAAAAGCCAATGAGATATAGAAAAGATTTCATCACCAGACAAAATGATTGTAATCATTGATTAACTCGTTGCAACCAAATCAGAATAAAATTTATTGTAGCTGACAAAATACTAGCAGAAACAGTAAATGTGTGGGGGGAGTCATGACAATTACAGACAAAAAATAAAGAGTAAGAAATCAACTATACTACATTGAGAAGCTCCACTGTGATGCCCTGGTGAATAGTGATAAATTATATAAATGAAATGTATGGACAAAAAGGGTACAGCATAGATACAGGTTCATTAGCATGACTGAATACACTCATGAGAAAAGAACAGCAATGCAAATCCCACATATCGGGCAACTAGATATACATCCAACACAACACATGCTATGAACGTCTATGATTCTCAGCATCTTGTCTTATTGTATACGCTGCAGAGTGCTACAGTCATTAGGCAAGCTTCACACAAACTCAGCAAACCTCCTTTTTTAATTCAGGATGTGGCACCGTCATGTCTCAAGAAAATAAATCTTTAAAAATGGCATGGTTCTCTATTCAACTTAATCGTGCATCTATTCAACACGCGTCATCTATGATTACAAAAGGATAAAAGCATGGAATTTGCAAACATAAAGCAGAGTTGGACACAATGTATCAGAAGAGGAATATATACAAAGCATCATAAGTAGTTGAACTTGATCTTGTCTCAGGCACATACACCACTTCTTATCAAATTCTCACCGAGACTAATCCAAAATTACCTTAGTGGTGGAATCTTTCCTGCCTAGCCTCTTCAAATGCACCGCAATTTCACTATCAACATCCTGCATGTGCCAAAGATACAACAGAACAATCCACACATTAAGCCGAGGTATGAAAAATTGATTAAAAAAAAAGATATTAACATTCTAACCAGCTCTAACAACTCAACTCAAAGCTTAAAACAATATTTTGTGGCATAAATCCTCTGACAAAGAAATAAACACAAGAAAAACCTAATATATTTCTATGTAGCATCAAAACTTCAGTAAAATACTGTATAATAAATTAATCTATTTGTAATCTCTAGATATGAACACAACAATACCTAATTATTAAAAATAGACTTATGATTGAAAACAAAATTCAATATCAATTTACATTAATTAAATAAGTAACAGGCATGGAATCATGAAGACTTACTGCAAAAGGGAGAGAATCTTCAGTTGAAGGAGAAGGATCGAGCCGCGAACTGCCAACAAAACCACCGAACCCAACGGATACAGCCGCGGCGGAAGAAGGAGCGGAGGATAAGAGCGATGCGGCGAGACTGCAAGGGCGAAAAAGCAATAAGATGGATGATGATTAGGGATCGAAGAAAGGGAAGAAAGGATTGTTGTTACCTGCTGCTTGAAGGGCGTGCTTTGCTTCTAGCACCTTCTCCTTTTTGTTTCCCCATTCTTCTATCTTCTTCTTCTTTATGCGTAGGGAAAGTAATACGATGTGGTGGTGGTTTGTTGTGTGCGGCGGTGCGCGCGACTGTGTCAGCAGCTGCGGAGCTTATTCTAGGGAAACACCCGACTTTTCTTCTACTTGCTGTAGACGATTTTTGTTTTTTTTTACTTGAAATGGCGTTCGTTTGGGTTATTATTATGACTTGAGAATAAGAATAACTTCAATACAAATTCATAAAAAACAAAAGATTTATTTTATGAACAAATATTAACTTGTGTTTTAAGAAATTTAAGTATCAAATATTTCTTTATAGACGAGGCTAGCATGTGCCCTAAGAGTATAGGTTAAGTATAATAAAAAAATTTAAATATAATTAAATATAATAAAATAATATTTAAAATTTTAAAACATTGAATGTACGTTATTTAAAAAAATATTTCTATATAAATGATCTTACCGGATCAGAGTTGGACCTCACAGTTGGCTCGAACTGGATTTGAGTGAGATGGGGGTACCTGCAAGACACTCCGATGATAAAATGAGAGACGGAATGAGCAGGCAAAAAATGTATAGGTGCGTAATAGATGAATACCTGACCCTCTGGGAACAGAGGATATTTATAGCCCTAGCGCTGGGTCAAGGTCCCTCTATTGGGCTGAGCAGAACTGACCCAATAAAGGAACTGTCAGGTTCTACGTGTGTAGTGGGGCCCCGCACGTGGTCCATTTCTTGGTGATGCTCCGCGAAGAATAAGGAAGGACGAAGACGCGGTCTTTCCGGAGCTTAGAGGATTCTATAACGGTCGGAGTGGACAGAATCTGCCCTACGGGAGGGTGCTCGAGCTGGACTCGAGCTGGAGTTCCCTTGGTCGGGGAAACTGCGTGCCGCGGGCAATGGCGGGCATAATGGCCATGGTTTGTGGCCGGGCACGTCGGTGGTAGTCCGTTTATGAGCATTCCCCGGGGAGTTTGCTTGGACTGGGCCTTTATCTGCGCTTTGGGCCAAGGCGGGCCCAGTCCAGAACAAGAGCCCCCCAAGTTGTTGCTCCTGGGGCAGGAGTCGTGACTTGACTTCCGCTCGCCTTTACCACAGGAATGATGCGGGGACCAGGGTTTTGTCTTTTGAAGCGTGCTTGAGGCGTTTCTCGCGGGGATACACGGGTCGCGCCCGTCGGGTACGTGGCGCAGTCCTTGGGAACTGTGGTGCCACCCTAGCAACTAGGACCATCATTGCCTAGGGGAGTAGGTGTCGAGGACAGGGAAATTCGTGTTTCCCCGGCGCGACGTTTCAAATTCCATGTCATCCTTATAAATAGGACCCTTGGGCCCATAATTTGTTTTTTCCCCTTCACGCTCCTCCCTCTTTCCCTGATTCCGCTACCGTCGTTTGCTGCAACGCTGTGAAATCACCGTACCATTCGCCGTTGATTCCTTCCACTGTCGTCACTCGTACTCTTTTCTTCCAAGTAAGTGTCTGTTCCTCCTATTTTTCTTCGTTGTATGTAGTTTTAATGTTATTTTTGATGCTAGAAGCCCATATTCTGGGAGTAGTGCCCGGTAGATTCATGATTACGCCCGGTAAACTCATAGTTTAGGTACATAACTCGCGCTTCTGCCCGTGACCTTCATAGTTTTAGACACATGACTCATGATATTGCCCGTGACATTCATAGCTTTAGGCATATGACTCATGATACTGCCTGTGACATTCATAGTTATAGGCATATGACCCATGATGTTGCCCGTGACATCCATGTGTTTGGTCGGCATACCCATGAGCTGGCCGGGGTTTTCATCCTTTTTAAGAAGTATGTAGGGCAGCCTCCTTGCGGTGTCCTGGTGTCGGGCAGGTGACTCCAAGAACTTGCTCGAGCGATTCATGTTTCGCCCGAGGCGTTCGTGTTACTCCCTTGTTGTCCCCGATGCGTGGTCGGGGTTAGGCCGTCCGTGTTCGGCTTGTTGTGTACTACTTCCTGTCTCTTTGGCGAGCACGCGGATTTGCTCTCGAATTCACCGGTTTCCTGTGCTTTGCAGGTAAATGGCCGACAAACTGGGATCTTCGAGGCAAAATGAAGTCGAGGATATGAATACCGAGGAGAATGTTACTTTAGTCGACACCATAGATGACCCCGCGTTGGACTGAGTGGGCGCCGAGCCTCGGGGGATTGCCTCGGAGTACTGTCGGCGTGCCTATACTGTCGTCGATCATGGCGGCAGTCGGCCAGGTTTTCAGAAAAATTTTATAGTGATGAGGTCGTCGATTGATGCGCGTATCTGCTCAGAGTTTACTGAGTACGGGTTCCCAATGTATGAGATCGTGTTCAGGGATCTCGGTCTTAAGCTCCCTTTCAGCGATTTTCAAGTCGGGGTGTTTAGCCACCTGAACCTGGCCCCTTCGCAGCTTCACCCTAACTCGATAGCCTTCCTTCGGGCGTTCGAGCTGACGTGCCGTTTTTTGAGAATCAGGGCGACGATTCCCCTTTTCTTCAGGGTCTTTCACCTGCAGCGTCAGTCTCGAGGAGGCAGACACAGTTGGGTGTCCCTGAAACAGTCGAAGAGGCTGTTTCGGATGTATATGGATTCTGTAAGGGACTTTAAGGATAAATAGTATATTCTACAGTCGGTCACCCAAACCGCCTTGGACTCTTTGTTCGAATCGGAAACCACGGTGGTCGACGCAGACGGGGAGCCCCTCGTGGATGCTGAGGGTCGTCCGGCAGTCGGGCGTATTTCTAAGTTCCCGATTCATTGGTGCTCGGGGCACTACGACCATGGCACCGGGTACTATCATACACCTGCGGGGAGCATAGGTGCTGAGGACGAGGAGGCCTATTCTGTCCTTTGCAAGTTCGTTGATAGCTTCTTCCCTGCCAGGTGGGTTACGCGGGAGGGGGAAGATATTCTTGACGAGAACGGGTGTTGTACCCCAAAATTTTCCCTCCCATATTTCTCAAGACATGTCAAGAATCATCTCCAAGTTGTTCAAGATGGCTCAAGAGTTGGACAGTCAAATCATCTCCTAAGGCAGTCAATTCAAAATTAGGGTTTTGTGTTGCATCAAGGTCCTTACATCCAAATGACCTCAAGTGCTCCTTAATGTCCTAACGTATGCTCAAATTCAGGTTCGGCTCAAGAGTCAATTCTTTAAAGAAGGTATCCGACTGTGTGAGTTTTCTCGAAGAAATATGGTGAAAAAGGTGTGCTGAAAGTGCAGTTTTTACGCGCTAAAAAATTCATAACTTGAAGATCGTGGCTCGTTTTGAACCTGTTACGGTGGCCAAAATTCCGTCTTGACGTCATCTATGTTTTCATCTCTCACGACTGGAAGCCAATTTTAATCATAAAGTCTTCAAAATATGGATTTATCAAGTATTTTCGTACAAAAATTTTGTGACTGAAGTTTATTTGCGTCATGTTCAGAAAATCATAACTTGGTCGATTTTCATCGTATCGAGCTGGTTCCGGCGCCAAAATTTCACAAATTGAGTTGGCTACATTTTCACAAAAGGTATTAAGTTCAAACAGTATTCAAAAGGCCTTCGTTTTTTGCTCAGAGTGCGTGACGCGCCGAAAATCCTGAATGCTGAATATTATTTCATCTGGGCCGAAACTTCGAAAATTCATAACTCGGTCAATTTTTATCGGATTGGGCTCATATTTTTACACAAGGTCACTGACTCATATATCTACAACTTTGCTTCAAAAGTCGAGACCGGATTATGCTCCGATTAATACCAGTTTTTTATTGAAGAACGTGTCAGAGTCGACACTGGAGCCCAAAATAAGTTTGTCTGAGCTGAAACTTCAAAAATTCATAACTAATTCATTGTTTATCCGATCGAGTCGATTTCCGGACAGGAGTTAATTCTCGATGTCGGCTACATTTTGTTTTCACATTTCAACTTCAAAAATTGCACTTAAGCCCCTGCGATTTAGCCTGCAACGTGACGAATTCAAGTGAACATTGGAGGCCCAATTGCACATTCAAAGCCCATTTTCTTTGCTCTAATTTCCATTATATAATCTCATTCTTTTCACACAAACAGGAGAGAAAAAAGGAAAACCCTTGCCACAACGCTGTCAGAATATCAAATTCTTTCAAGAACCCTAAAACCTTAAAATCCTTATTACAAATCTCTTTCTCACTACAAACAAGTCATCCCGGTTACAAACCAACATCTCACTACAAACAAGTCATCCCAGTTACAAACCAACATCTCACTACTTATTCAGTAAGGATAAGGCTGACATGATCTCCATGGTCAAAAAGGTATAAAAGCATTCACGTCACTACTTTTTCAATAAGGGTAAGGTTGATTTGATCTCCATGATCAAAATGGTATAATCATTCATACATGCCATATTGACCTAAACATTAAATTTCTTCATATATTGGCTTTATTTGTATTTTATGATATATATAGTAATTTATTTAATGTGTTCATGAGATTCAACACTGCAGATTTTAGACAGGATTCCATGCAGGTTCATTAAGGAACGTTGAGGCAAAAACACAAATGGCCAAAAGCCAAAACACAAATGGCCAAAACAGAACAACTTACACATGACACCAATACATGGCGAGACAGACATCCTGAGAAGGTTAAGGAACGTTGAGGCCAGAACACAAATGGCCAAAAGGCAAAACACAAATGGCCAAAACAAAACAGTTTACACATGACGCCAACAGCTGTTTCACCCCTCCAATCAGGCCCGTATACTCCTAAACTCTCTCTATTTTTATTATTTTCCTTTAATTAATTAATCGTTATTCTTTTTATTAATCACTAACCAATTAACATTTTTTCCTAATAAAATCAAAAACACAAAAAATATTTTATTTATTAAAATTAACTTCATCACTTTTATTTTTGTAAATAAATTAATGGCAAAATACCCTTTTTAGTCCTTTAAGTTTACCCCAAGGTCCATTTTGGTCATTTATCTAAAAAAAGTGTCAAACTGGTCCTATAATTCTTTCAAGAGGACCATAGGAGTCCTTTCC